GGAGGTCACACAGGGACCTTGCTGCTCGTTACTTGGCTTGGTAACTGCAGGGTGGATAGCCGGCACGGGGGTCTGGGGCTTTCCCTTCCCCCTCCCAGGGAGGGGGAAGCTGCGCAGACATGCGGTGCAGCTCGTGTGACGTCATGCTCATTTGTTCATTTTCATTTGGGGGAGTTCTGTCCACTCGTTTGTCTATTTTCTTCATTTTAACCAAAATAGGGGTTTGTTTTTGGGCACTTAGCTTTCTGGGTGCCTGTCCCTGTCGATGGCAGATATAGAATGCTCCAAATCACATGTGCATTTCTATAGGCCATTGCTCCTCGGGCCTCTCTGAGGGGGCCAGGTTTTGGCTTGTGGTCCCTGATAGGCCTAAAACTCCACCCACTTCAACAGATGCCAAAGTTTGGGATATTCATATCAGCCTGGATAGCTCTGGGGGAGCCTCTGGGACTCAGAAAAATGGCGTTTCATTACATTCAATGCTGTGTTTTTTAATAATAATTAATTTTGTTGGGCAGAGGCATCCTGTGTGTAATTACCTAAGTGTAGTTACTGGATGAGAGCTACACTCATGGTGTCTCGTCTTCCCAGCACTCTTTGTCATATACAGTAACGCTTTGAAACTACTAATGGTTTTTCTCTCCACTACCTCACTTAACTTATTCCAACAATTTACCACTGTTTGCAAAAGTGAACTTTCTAATGGTCTTTCAGCCAACCTGTCCTCAGAACAAGTCCATTCCATCCAGTGATCAACCCCAAAGATGCATTCATAAATTTTAACATGCTGTTTATTCAAAATTTTCTCAGATATAAATTAATATTGTTATATATTTGCATACTGTGCATATTTAGGCATTGGTTAGGTTAAGTGTTTAGGTTCTATTGGCAATTATTTGTATTTGTAGTATATGGGTGAAGCATTTACAGCGTTGTGGTTTGAACAAAAGTCGTCAGCGGAGCACTTGCTCGAGAAGTGTTTAAACGTCATCAATTGTGAGTCTGATACAGACTCGCAACTGAAAAAAACAGTAAACTGTAAACAGGGGGTTAGGCTGGTGCATGGAATGGACTTTGGCCTTTGTTTGTGAGGACGGGCTGCTTTTGGGAGCTTTGTTTAGTTAGCTTAAATCTAAGACCTCATGTTCTTGAGGTTCCAAGTTTCAAGAATTCTTCATTATCAATTTTGCTGATTACCTTTACTATTTTATAGATGCTGATCATATTGCCTCTTTTTTGTTTTTTCTTCCATCTTCTATTTTCCAGCTTTGGCATACAGTATTTAACACCCTTAATCTTTCTTTGTAGCTTCTGTCTTTCAGTTCTGGAAACTATTTTGTTGCACATCTTTGGATTTTGTAGTTGATGTGCTTCTTGAGATATGGACACCATACAACAGTTGCGTATTCTAACTTTTGTCTCGCAAAAATCATGAATAATTTCTTTAATATTTCACCACCCATGTATTTAAAAACTATTTTGAGATTGGAAAGCATAGCATAGGCTCCTTGTACAATGCACTCTATAAGATCCTCAGGTGATTGTTTTCTGTGCAGAACCATCCCTAGATTTTACTCGTTATCAGAATTCTTTAAAGGATTTTCACACACTTGCTCTGATTTGTAAGATGTGTGTGGCCTATTTTCTCCTATTTTACATTCCACACCATAACATTTATTCACGTTAAATTTCATTTGCCAGATGTTGCTCCATACACTTATTTTGTCCAGGTCTTCTTGAAGGGCATGACAGTCATCTAACTTTCTCATCTTCCCTATTATCTTAGCAGTATCACCAGACATGTTCATATACAGCAATTCTGTATTCCATCTGGTAGATTGTTTATGTAGATGGTGAACATTACCGGTGCAAGTACGCAAAGTACCCTGTGGTACGCCACTCGTGACATTTGTCCAGTCTGATTCATTGCCTCTGATTACTGCCCTCATTTTTCTGCTAGTTAGAATTTTTGTTATCTAACATAGAATTTTGTTATCCATGTTTGAAGTCTCTCTGTTACTCCTCTAGTATGTTAAAGTTTCCAGAACAACCTTTTGCATGGGACTCTTGTTGAAAGCCTTTTTAAGGTCCAGATAAATGCAGTCAACCCACCATCTCTTCCCTGTAAAATCTCTGCAGCTCTATCATAGAAACTAAGCAAATCTATTAAACAGGATCTTCTTGATCGAAAACCATACTGTCTCTGATATCATGTCATTTCTCTCCCAGGTCTTCTACCCATTTGTTTATTATTTTTTCCAATGTTTTGTCAACTATGCTTGTCAACAATACAGGTCTATAATTAAGAGGGTCTTCTCTGCTACTGTTTTTGTATATTTGAATTACTGTATGTTAGCCTATTACCATATGTGTATACTCGTCTAGTTGTGATTGCGGGAGTTGAGCTTTGGCTTTTTGGTCCTGCCTCTCGACTGTCAATCTGCTGGTGTACAGGTTCCTGAGCTTATTGAGCTCTTATCATATATACATTTGAAACTGTGCATGGAGTCAACCTCCACCACATCACTTCCTAATGCATTCCATTTATTAATTACCGTGACACTGAAAAAAAGTTCTTTCTTATGTCTTTGTGGCTCATTTGGGAACTTAGTTTCCACCTGTGTTCCCTTGTGCGAGTACCACCCATGGTAAATAATCCATCCTTATTTACCCTGTCAATTCCCCTGAAAATTGAGTACTGTAATTTGCAGAGTAATCTGAGAATTACACACTCCTGTGTAATTACCTAAGTGTAGTTACAGGATGAGAGCTACGCTCGTGGTGTCCCGTAACACCTGTGTGGTGGTGTGTGTGTGTGTATGTGTGTGTAATTACCTAAGTGTAGTTACGGGATGAGAGCTACACTTATGGTGTCCCGTCTTCCCAGTACTGTCATGTGACGCTTTTAAACTAAGTACTGATGGTTTTGAACTCTTCCACCTTCTCACTTAACTTGTTCTAGCCATCTTCCACCCTGTTTGTATAAGTGAACTTCCTAATATTTTTAAGCAGCTTTGTTTCCTTAGTTTGAACCTATGTCCTTTTGTTCTTGAAGTTGCATTTTTTCTTTGTCAGTTTTGGCAATTCTTGTTACTATTTTGTGCGTAGTGATTGTATCACCCTTTGTGTGTATGTGTGTGTTCAGTAAATAAAAATATCAAATGGAAACCCACATATAAAATTCAGTCAAATCACACTACTTACAGAAAAAGCATTATACAGGTGCTGTAAAAGATTTGGGAGTAATCGTGTTGGAAAACCTAATTTTTATGAGTACAATATTGTAGCTGTCACAACTGCAAGAAAAATGACACGTTGGATAACAAGATCCTTTAAATCAAGAGATGCCAGACCAGTGATGATATTGTTTTATGACATTATTGTTCTTTAACACTTTCGCTCGGGGATGACGCAGCATTGCGTCATCCGTTTACTGGCGGTAATGCCGGGGATGACGCAGCATTGCGTCATCCACTTTAAAAATTCGCCAAAAATCAGGTTTTTATCCGATTTTTTGGGGACTGGTTTTAAAATGTGCGCCGATGTCTTCCCATTTTCTTTGTTGAGCCTCGTGGCCCTCAGGCGGCTTGGCACATGCCATGGGCCCATTGTCTTTGCTCCACTGTTGTGACCAATGTCGCCTCCCCTCGCATCTCAAACGTGTGAACATTTCGGCTATTTCCCGTGGCTATATTTCTTACTGCGGCTTTAGAAACTATCTACGCTTACTCCACGATGGATAGTAATCATGAACAAGGCCCTCCCAGGAAGAAAATTGCGAAAGAAAGGCTTGAAAAGGGTGGGAATTGGGAGTGTAGCAGGAAGGCCTCTGAGCACTCACTCACGGCTAACGCGTGGCCCGTCTTCAACTCGTCGGCGGTTGGAGCGTGACCAGGTTTTTTTTTTATATGCTAATGTTCCTATAGAGAATTTTATTACGAACCCATTGAGACCAAATTGAAAGACCTAGGACAAAAATTGAGGTGACCAGAGTGAAAATAGTGAAAACATTTTATCCCGTTTGCGCGCTCCCGGGTAACTCGTTCGCACTTTCTCTGTTTGCTGCGGGTAATTAGCTGGGCTTTTGGAGTTTATATGCATTTAGTGTTGTAGAGAATTTTATTGCGAACACAATGATACCAAATTTAATCTCGTAGAAGGAGAATTGAGGTGACAAAGTTGAAGAGAGTATACACTTTTCGAAATTAACGCGCGCTTCCGTGACACGCTGGGGCCCATATCGCCCTGTCGAGGGGTGGCGCGCGGGGTGAGCGAAAGTGTTAAGGTGAAATATTGTTGCACACTAACAGCCCCATTCAAAGCTGGAGAAATTTCTGACCTGGAGAAAGTGAAAAAAGGTCTTATAGTGCTTGAGTGTACTAAATAAAGCATCTTATCAACATTAAGGGCCCAAAACTTTTCAACACTCGCTCTAAACATAAACACAGGACTTGCTGACTTATGATGGTGTTCGAGAGAGAGAGAATCTTGATCAGGTATCCAAAGTACACCTGATCAACTGGGTTGTGACACACATGTCAGACTGCAAGCAGCCACATCTAACAGCTGGGTTGACCAGACCTCCATCTAGGAGGCCTGATCAGAGACTGGGCTGCGGGGACAATGTTCCTTGGAACCATCGACAGATAGCACTATATTAAATTTGATACTGATAGAGTATTAGTTATCTGCTTAATTATAAGAGTCCCTGTTAATTTTCCTTTAGATTCAGTGTGGAATACATTCCTTGCAAATAAGAACAGTAACTGCATTAGGGGGTGGCTTACACATGTATGCTAAATTGGTAGAGCATTAAATATTTTTGTTAGATACATGCACATATTAACTGTACTACTAGTTGACAATATTTTCCATTTGAATGTATATCTAGTGTGTATCACATGTAAATTAATATGCATCTGCTTTTGATCAATGTGTGGCTAAATCAAAATGCTCATATTTATTTTGAAATAATCTTCCTTTAATGTATTTTTTAACAGGGTATCAGTGGTGGAACTACAGTCTCAGGAACAATGATAATTGCACATAAGATGAATATTCCCATTTTTGTGACTGGTGGTATTGGAGGAGTACATCGTGGGGGAGAGAATACGTTGGATATATCTGCGGATCTCACTGAGCTTGGACGTACACCAGTAACTGTTGTATCAGCAGGTGTCAAGAGCATTCTCGATATAGGGAAAACATTAGAATATTTAGAAACACAAGGTTAGTTGTAAAAAAATTAAGCACTTGTACTTGCCTATTTGTACTCGCCTATGTGTGCTTGTGGGGGTTGAGCTCTGGCTCTTTGGTCCCGCCTCTCGACTGTCAATTAACTGGTGTACAGATTCCTGAGCCTACTGGGCTCTTATATCTACATTTGAAACTGTGTATGGAGTCAGCCTCCACCACATCTCTGCCTAATGCATTCCATTTACTAACTACTCTAACACTGAAAAAGATCATTCTAATGTCTCTGTGGCTCATCTGGGTACTAAGTTTCCGCCTGTGTCCCCTTGTTCGTGTTCCACCCGTACTAAAGAGTTTGTCTTTGTCCACCTTGTCAATTCCCCTGAGAATTTTGTAGGTAGTTATCATGTCTCCCTTTACTCTTCTGTCTTCCAGGGACGTGAGTTTCAGCTCCTTTAGCCTTTCCTCGTAGCTCATACCTCTCGGTTCCAGAATGAGTCTGGTGGCATACCACTGAATCTTCTCTAACTTTGTCTTCTGTCAACTCTGTCAACTCAACTTTGTCAACTCCCTAAGTTGATACACTGGTAATACTAAGTTCTGGCTCCACCCACTATGCCTCTTGAAATCCATTCATTACCTACTGGAAAGCAGGATCAGAAATCAACCCAAAACCAGGGTAAACCCACCAGAGAGGGTCTGCTTAAAGGAGATCAGGAGTTCAGTTTGGCAGGTTTTAGGCTTCAATCTCTCTGAACCCAGCAGTATTGGTTCACTGACTTTCTGGATGCCTTCCTCGGTGAGGTGGAGGAGTGTCATCTGTACCTCCGTGAGGGGGCCAAGTTCTGGGACCAGATTCACGAAAGTACTTACGCAAGCACTTACAAACCTGTACATTTTTTCTCAATCTTTGGCAGTTTTGTTTCCAATTATTAAACAGTTAATGAGCTCCGAAGCACCAGGAGGCTGTTTATATCAATAACAACAGTTGAATGGGAAATTTTCATGCTCGTAAACTGTTTAATAAATGTAACCAAAGCCGTCAAAGATTGAGGAAAAATGTACACGTTCGTAAGTGCTTGCGTAAGTGCTTTCGTGAATCTGGCCCCTGGCTTTGGTCTCCTGTTGACCAAACTTAACTCACGGCTGATGCGATCTAGTAGTTAGGAGCCATCTCGGTGAGTTAGCTTCTGGGAGCCACTGGGGCTCATCCAGAAAGTAGTGTTTCATTACATTCAATGCTGTGTTTTTAGGGCAGTTTGCCTCAGTTTGAGTTGGTCTCTGATCCTCAATTGCTCTCTGCCTCTAGAGGGAAGGCAAGTGAAATTTGAACAGACCTATGTCTCTAGTAGGCAGTGAGAGTCTCATGGATACCATTGATAGTTTGAGCAGTAATGGATAGTGCTTAAACTCAGGGAAGTGACTGAAGTCAATCTCAGAATGGGATTACATTCTAAGCTCTTATAACTTTTACTTTCATAATATAAAATATTTCAGATAATTTTATGGGCTGATCCATAGTTGCTCCACAGTTCATACCAAACATCAAGACAAGAGTTTGATGTGCTTATAAAATGCGATGGGAACCTGGGGATTTGAGATTGATGCAAAACCAAGTGAAACTGCCCAGAAAGTGCAAGCAAAGCAAAATAATGTATGTATCTTGATTAAAGATAGAAAATATAGAAACAAGGGATATGTAGTTTGCAGAATGTCGGCAAACTATGTACTAGTACCCAAGTGCACCATCGGGTGGCAGTTGCAGGCATCCAGGGTCCATCCTGCATGCCTTCTCAATCATGTGTCATTCCAAGATGCACCCAATCCCCATGGGCAAGAAGGGCAGAAAATGGCTGTATTGGGGGCTACTGAGAAGTGTGGCCGGCATTGAATTAATTACATTCAATGCATGACTTGTGGGATGACCCTTGGTAGCTTCCCATGCATAATCCTAACAGCTTTTCAGATAGGAAACTCAACTTTCCTTTCTAAGGAAAGGAATTCCTTCTGAGAAATATCAAATTCCTTTGCATTTAAGAAACCGCTGGATTCTTGTCATGGTGTTAGGCAAGCTTGTGCGTGTCCCAAGGCCTAATAATATTGTGCATGTCTCCGAGATATCAAAGCAAATGCCCTGGAGAATTATTAAGAAATCGTGAAAAATGGCAGATCATTATATTGAATGCATCTATTAGTCCCAAATAAAGTACTCCTGTATGGGCTGAAAGAAAAGGGCTATTGCACAGCTAAAGGGTTAAAAGTTAGGCTTGCTAGCCAAGATGTGTTGCTATACTGTGGCACTATTCAAATATTCTACCAAAAATATCCACATCCTTCCAATTATTTTACAAATAAAAATGTTTATTGGTTTAATATTTTAGTTAAGAGACAAAAGTGATCATGGTTTATGTTGAGTATACCTTGAGAGAGTTCCAGGAGCTTCATTGTTCAATGAATTTCAAGAAGTTACTTGGCCATATAGTTGTGGTTTTCATCTATTGCTTTCCATGTCTTTCAGGTGTGTGTGTTACTGTTCTGGGTTCTGATCCTAAGTTCCCAGATTTCTTTACACGAGACAGTGGCTACACCGCTCCCTATCACGTAGAATCACCAGCTCTAGCTGCATTAATGATGCAGAAAAGAGCAGAGCTGGATATAAATTCAGGAATGTTGATTGCTGTGCCTATACCTCAGAGATACGAAATTGAAGGCCAACAGATCAAGAATGCTATTGGTACAGTATTTGAATTGCAATAATTTTAAAATATTATAATGTAAATCATTGGTGTTGAATACATAAAAAGTACATTTAGTTTTAATTTTGAAATACTCCATTAAATTTGATCGTAATTGTGATATCCTTTGAATTGGTTGTTTTGTTAAGCAACTCTGCATTTCCAATGATCTAATTAAGCAAATAAGGTTTAGAATAGTTTACTTATTTGATACTTTACAGAGCAAGCCGTTAAAGAAGCAGAGTCAGCAGTGCGCGGCAGAGATGTGACCCCATACATCTTGCAACGAATCCTTGAAATAACTGGTGGTCAGAGCCTTAAATCCAGTATCCTTTTGAGTGAAATAATTATTTGGTAGTTCTGTTTGACACTGTTTCATCTAGAAACTTCTCATCTTTGCTATTGTGATCACACATAGAATCTTTCCTTGATATTTATATAGGCCTCTTGAAAGACAATTTACAAGTAGTATAGGTTTAAGAATGTTAGAGAGAGACATTTGACAAGTTAGTGATGTATATAAGAAATAAGAGAGGTCCTACGATGCTGCCCTGTGGCACTCGTATGGTTAATGGTAGAGTGAGAGAGGTTGTGTCATTGATGGCTACATATTGGTATCTGTTATGAAGATATGATCAGATATAGCTAGGAGCAAGGCCTTGGAATGCATAGTGATCAAGTAAGAATGCATAGTAAGAGGTAGTATTTAAGTATTGGGTTGTGATAGTACATAACATTGTGTATGTGTTTGACTATTACATTCCTGCAAAACCACTAACATGCATGATGTTTTGGGCAAGTTCTTTATCTAAGTAAAAGTATTAATATCTACAGTACATTGTAGCAGAATTTCTTGTCATTTCATTTGTTTGTTGTCTGTCAAGTACTCCAGTGCCTTTCCTGTTATTGTATCTTCTCATTTTATGTATCTTTTCCTTTGTGGGGAACAGTATCAACAGTATTTTGGATAGTAAATGTTTAATTTCATTCGTGTTGACTGCAATAGCTGTGTCTAAATAAAATGAATAGTTTTCCTTAGTGTTTCCAGATATTGCTCTTATTGAGAATAACGCGAAGATAGGCGCACAGATTGCTGTAGAATACGCCAAATTGACTTCTCCTTCAAGGTAAACTAATGTAAAATTTATCTCTAGTATGGAATGGTCAATGATAATCTTACTAAGTTATAATTGTAGTGCTGTACATAAACTAGTACACAAATTCTTGTACATAAGGAATTTGTGTACTACAGTAGTTTAATGATTTTTACATAAACCAGTATAGTTTATTGTGAGAATATGGTAGGATTTCATTACACAAATTCCCCACATCAAAGAATTTACAGAAGTGCAAATAAAATTGTTATTGTTTTTATGTGAGATATTCTGAGCTATTACACTACGTTTTATCTCCAAGCCAGGATCCTGTAGAAGCTTAAGATCTCTTGTAGTCAGGGCAGCATTCAACATTCTGTACCATCATAGTGTGGAACTATTCCAGCGCAGCTTCCTGTTTAGATAGTACTTACAGTAATAGTGTGGACCATTGTACATGGACATTTATAAAGTAGAATTGGGTACTGTTGAATTTGGACAAACTGGAAACTGTCTTATATTTACCGTTTGTTGCTATTAAAACCTAACCGAATTGTCTAAAGCTTAATACACATTATCCGAGTCCTAGTATAGTACATATATATGTTGTATTAGGCCTAGGAATTTTTAAGTTTGTTTTAGGTTAATTTCTGGCAGTAGCCCCTTGGCTCCCTGGGGCTATCCAGGCTGATATGGATATATTAGACTTTGGCATCAGTCAGTGTGAATGGAGTTCATAGGCCTGCCGGGGACCACGAGCCAGAACCTGGCCCCCCTCCGAGGTACGAGGAGCAATGGTCTATAGAATTGCACATGTGGTTATGGAGCATTCTATGTCTGCCATTGACCGGGTCTGGCATCCAGAAAGATAAGCATCCCAAAACAAACCCCTATTCTGGTTAAAACTACTACTGAAAGTCAAACGAGTGGACAGAACTTCTCAAATGAAAACGAGCGAACATGACGTCGCTACATGCCACGCTGTTGTCTGCACAGGCACCCCCCCTTCCCTCCTCGGCAGGAGGAAGGGGGAGCCCTAGACCCCTCATGCCGGCTACCCACATCTTCAGTTCTAGACTGATGTATCTAGGCGTTGGTCGTGTGACTCCAGCTCCTGATTCTTGTGCTAAGTGCTGTGCCTTATGTCTAGTGCTGTCTTTCAGGTAGGGTGTGAGCTGGGAATAATCTTCACAGCTACTCAGGCTGTATGCACTTAGGGTTGTCTATCCTAAGTGCCCTGAAAGTACCGCACTTTGGGCTTGGGGCCATCTTCCACACATCACCTTTGGATCTACCTCTGCTTGGTCTTTTGCTGCTCGGTGATTGATCGCCCTGAGAGTGCTGGGGGGTTCCTCCACCCTTGTTTACCTTGGGGTAAGAGGAAATTTGTACTGGTAGGGGTACAGGGTACTGCACAGTTAGTTATCACCTATTATAGTGACTGGCTCTGTTCCACCTTGGTACATTGTCCTCTTGTGGAGTTTTTCTTTAGTTTTTGTTTTCCTGCCTGGTGGTGGTGGGGGTCTGCCTTTTGTTACCCTTAGCTATATTTAGGATTTCTCTTCGTGTCTGTGTTCTTTGTGGTTTTCCCTGCTAGGCGTCCATGAGTGGACACGTCCTGGGGGTTCAGCTTTTAGAAGTTTGGTGGGTAGACTTGGTCGCCGGTTCGCAGTACCCTGCCTGGGCTTCCTTTAGTGATACCAGTCTAAGGGCCCTGAGAAACCCCGCAGGGGCACAAGGAGTCCAATGGATGCAACCTCTGGGTTCTCTCTTGCCTTGTGAGAGTTTGAGGGTTGTTCTGTCCCCATTGTCTCAGGGTGGCTTATTATTTTTGCCTCCGTCATGCTGCCTGTTGGGTCGGTGACACTTTTGACCCGGAGTCCTGCGAGTTTTGTTGCTTGTTAGTGACTTAGTTCACCCAATCCACTGTTTTGACTATCTGGGTGCAGGCAGCTCAGGGAATGTATGCTCGGTATAGGTTGCTGCAACTCGCTAGGTTGATTGCTGACCCGGAAACCCCGAGGCTGCCATGTTTTGCTTGTAGGGACCCCCCTCGTTCTTCCCCTGCTGTGGTGCATTCTGGTTTCCCCCCCCCCCCTCCCCTGCTTCCGGCTGTGAAGTATCTGAGGGCTTCAGGGTCAGGGCAGGATTTAGCTGGTTTTGAGACTCGAGCAGTCTTCGGGATGGCCCTTCCGGGGTGGCGACAGAAGCATTCGACTTGATTCCTCCAACCGTGGCGTCAGGATCTGACCAGTGGGCCCCCTTCCTTCCTTCCTGCCTTTCCGGCTGCCCTAGCTTTTTCTTTTGAGGTCGGGGCTTTGGAGGACGAGTCTGCCCCCGGGTCCTGGTGTGGAGGTTCCCGGGGTTGGGGAGGTGCTGACTTGGGGGGCCTTGGGCCCTATTCGACCCCGCCAGGGTTTTTCTACCCCTCCGAGCGGGGCTTGCTGCTACATCCAGATTACGCGTCTATTATGAATCCATCTTCATTCAAGTTTGGGTCTTCGTCTTCCTACTGGGTTCGTTATGAGGTTCCGGAGTTGTCCTGGCTAGCGGACGACCCTGTGTTGTCTGTGGATGCTTGGAGTACTTTCTGTTGTACCCGCACACTTGAGTGGTGTGAGGCACTGATGGTGGTGCAGGTTTACCTGGGTGGAGAGTTTGAGCACCGCAATGCATGTTTGTTCATTCGCCCTTGCCCTTCAGCGGAATGTTGGCGTAGTGCAGCTTCACGTGCAGGTTCCTCCCTTTCGGCTGCACTGGTAGCCGAGGACTTGCACGCTCGTGACCTGCTGGCTTTGGTCATGCGGCTCTTTACCCTCCTAAAGCTGCCTTCGGATTGGCTTGAGGAGGATGTGGAAGCGCTTGGGGCCATTCCTGGGTCTGGTGCCTTGGTCTCGGCGGCGCATGCGTCGTCTGCGCAGTTGAAGCTGTTTGCATCGATCCTGCGGGATGCAGTGTCCCTGTTATTCGCTTCATGTCTTGCATGTCGGCAGGTGGTGCTTGCTTCCTCGTTGGAATCTGCTTGGGCTCTGGCTCTTTAAGTTTTCGTTGCCCCTTTTGTCCCTTGCTGTTTGCAGTCTGCGGTCGGGCAGTATCTACAGGACATATCTTCTAGTTGTCGTCCGATGTCGGACTTCTTGGTTCTTTGGAGTTTCCGGGGGGGGGTTTCCTCCCGGAAGGATCATGCCAAGGCTCGTGGTTCCTATCGTCATGGTAGGCTGCTGGTACCAGGTTCTGAGCCGGCATCACTTTCAGACCCATCTTCGTCTGGTCAGCGAGGTGATCACTCAGTGTGTAAGTCGGGTTCTCGTAAGGGGTGTCGGCGTTTTTGCGGTTTGTCCCATTGATGGGGCAATGGGGATGAGGCTCACGCTGTTTGCTCACGCCTGATCTCACTATTTGTGGACTTTTCGGGTCGTTTCCAACGGCTTGTGGTGGCATTGGGTGGCTTCTCCTCCTTCGGGGGGATTGGGACTGGCGGGGCAGTCCTGCGTTCTGTAGGGTCTTCTCAGAGTGGGTGCACTTGGGTGTGGTCAATACGACGGTGTCCCTCAGGTGGATTTCCCGTCTGTTCACAGTCCCAAAACAGGACTGTGCGGCTGTGCTGTTCATTCTGGACTTGTCCCGTCTGAACCCCTGGGTCTATTGCCCCTCATTTCAGATGACTATTGTCACAGGTCCGGCTTCTGTTGGAGTCGGGCACTTGGATGGTGTCCCATCTACCCTTCTGCTTATGGAGTTCGTAAATATGCTGCTTTCCTGGTGGTCTTTTCTAACACGTCTTGGGTGGTATGGGTGCGGGAGTTTTGGCAGTCTAACACAGTATTGGCATCCAGGTATTTAGTTAATGTCCCCTTGCCGTGTCATTTCTGTATTTTCTTGAATCTTCGCTTCCCTCCAGTGTTGTCTGCTTCACTCTGATTACCTGCCATATCTTCTCCTCCTCCTGGGTAAGTTTTTTGTCTTTCTTCTCTGTGAGAAGAGGAGGGAGGGAGGGTGTCGGGGAGCCACAAGGGGCTTCCCCAGAAAACCAGCATTGAAAGTAATGAAATGCTTTCTGGATGAGCACTGGAAGCTCCCTGACTCACTCCCCACTCTTCTAGGTGCGTCAGTTTGTTTGTACTCTACATCTACTCTACAACTTGAAAGGCAGGGAGTGAGACCTGTTGCTCCAGCCCCTCTTTCCCTCTTATCAGTTTTGCTGCTGGGCAGGGTTTTGCTAGGGTGGTTGGGGCTAATGAGGTCATGCTAGTTTAAAGAGATTCAGTCATTTGCTTACATTGTTTGAGGAGTTCATTTGGCAGTTTCGAGGCTTCAGTTATTTTGAACCCACCAGTGGTCTCTATTGGTTTGCTGACTTTCTGGTTGCTCTCCTGGTGGGGTGGTGGAGTGTCACCCACTCTGTGCCTCTATGAGGTGGCCAAGTTTCTGGCTCAGTGTCCCCAGTAGGGCAAACAGAATTCTGCTGCAGATATGACCTAGCAGTTGAGAGCCATTTCAGCAAGATAGCTTCAGGGAGCCACTGGGGCTAATCCAGAAAGATGCATTTCATTAATAATTATTATTATTATGTAATACATAATTATTATAATGTAATTTGCATATCATACTTAAATACTGTACTTTCTTTACTTTTAAATTTGGCTTGTATCCTCTACAAATTGTGTAATGCTTCACATTCTTCTTTTTCAGTTATAAACCCCCTGGCTATTTTCCCAGTAATGAATTGAAGGCATCTGAAGCTCGTGGAAAACCTGTACGTTACAAGGGTGACACATGATAGGTCTTGGATAGAACTTTAATAACTGATAGACTTTTATTCTGAAGTAGCCCACCACTGTTAATTTTAGTACCCCAGATTTTAAATGAAAATGTAGTTTATTATTTATGGCATTCTTGATCGTAAAATATATTATGAAGAGTTTGTCCTATAAGATATATTTTGCTACCTTATTTGTTTGGTTATCTATTTGTGTGTATGTAATACATGCGTTACTGTGATATAATTTTGTTGTTTGAAATACAGTATCATGAATTCTGTGGGAAATTTAAAAGTTGTACAGTATTGTATAATACTGTAGAGTCAAGAGTGGTTGTGAGTGGATATTGTGTGCTTTATGGCAATTGAATTAAATAATGTTACTGAAGACTGTTTAGTGGTTTCAATACTGGAATAATGAACGATTAGTGTTGCTTGTTTGCCATGGCTGCATTATGGAGGGATATACATACAGTATAATAAAAGTACTGTAGTTAATTTGTGGACATAATCTCCATATGATAAGTGTTTACTGAGCTACTGGGAAAGGTGATGTATTATGTTAATTAAATTTTGTTCTAATAGTTCATATTCATATTATCAGTTATTGTCATTTGCTAATGGTGAAAGAATAAACATCTCTTCTACAGGTCTGCTACAAATGTTTAGGTTAGCCACGTTATTAAATGAAGGGTGAGAACACATGTTGAGTGTACCAGCAACAATATGCAGCAGTGATTGATTTTTATGGAATTGTACACATAAATTATACAATTTATGTAATTGTGTTAAAGGGAGAGATTAGACAACATCCCATTACCCATACAAATGTGTTGGATCAGCCCCAGGTGACTCACTGTTTGGTTGTGTGAGAACCTGTACTTTGCCTTTGCCCAGTTTTGGTGCTGGGCACAGTTTGGCTTTAAGCATTGTACCAGTTTCTCCAGTTCTGCCCTTCTTTTCCACTCCTGGGACCAAAGGATTTAATCCTTGCCTGCCCTTTATTGGCTTTCGCCTCGCCGGCTTTCCCTTCCAGCTATTTGGAGTTTCTGTGGTGCCATCCTCCCCCATGGCTTCATGAGTTCAGAGATGCCTTGTCTCTATGTTGGGGCTTCATGACCAATGCTCACCAGACCACCCAAGTTGAGTGGTTTGGTTCATTCCTTCGGTGTGCAAGTTTGTGGCATTGTGGTATGCCCTACAGTGGAATTGGCTTTCTCCAGGCTCCATGCTCTGGCTCCACTCTTGATCTCCTCAGTGGTTCATTGTCTGAACCAAGGAGGAAGGGGTGACTCTTTAGTCCATTGCCCTGTGGTACTGGGGCAAGATTCACGAAGCAGTTACACAAGTACTTACGAATGTGTACATCTTTCCTCAATCTTTGAGGGCTTTGATTACATTTATGAAACAGTTTACAAGCACAAAAACTTCCCAATCAGCTGTTGTTATTGTTATAAACAGCCTCCTGGTGCTTCGGAGCTCATTAACTGTTTAATAATTGCAAACAAAGCCGCCAAAGATTGAGAAAAGATGTACAGGTTCGTAAGTGCTTGCGTAACTGCTTCGTGAATCTGGCCGCTGGATAGTTCAAGTAGCTCAGCTTCTGGATTCTCATGGATTGGTTCTCCACACTATTCATATGCAGGGTGTGCCCAATGTTCTCATACATGGGTTATCTTGCTTTTGTCCTATTTCTACAGAGTGGACTGTCAATGACTCGTCCTTCCATTGACTCGGTGAGACATTTGATTGCCCTAAGGTGTACCACTACAAATGAACAAATCCACAAGGGCCGTGATGAGGATTCGAACCTACGTCCGAGAGCATCCCAGACGGTGCCTTAATCGACTGAGCTACAACATGGTATAAGAATTGCAACCAGAAATTCTATTGAATTTACTTGGATCATGCAGCCTCTCCGAGACACAAACCAGGATTTTATACAATTCCCCCATGCACTCGAGCTATGTCAATAGGCCGTTCTACCTCTTCGCCTTTACTTCATTAGGTTAGCCAAGTTATTAAATATCTTGCGAGTTATTGTATCTTGTGAGTAAATGAAGTAAGAGCGAAGAGGTAGAATGGCCTATTGACATAGCTCGAGTGCATGGGGGAATTGTGTAAAATCCTGGTTTGTGTCTCGGAGAGGCTGCAGGATCCAGGTAAATTCAGTAGACTTTCTGGTTGCAATTCTTATACCATGTCATAGCTCAGTCAATTAAGGCAGCGTCTGGGATGCTCTCGGATGTAGGTTCGAATCCTCGTCACGGCCCTTGTGGATTTGTTCATTTGATACATCACGCTATTGTGATTTCTATGTGTACCACTACACATTGGCGTTGGACTGGCACCTTGCCTCTTATGTGGCTCCATTCCCTCAATCGGGAGGCTCTCATGGTGGTTCTTTTTCTACTGGATTGATGAAGGTTGAGGTGCATTTTTCTTTTCCCCTTGGTTCAGTTGTTGCTCCGGGTTCTGTCCAGTCTGGAATCGTATGTTTGAAGGGCGATCCTCCCGACTCCTTGCTGGCCTGCCCTGTCTTGGTTTCCAGTGCTTCTTGCCCGGTGTGCAACCCTGGGCATTTTACCTTGGCTCCACCTTTTTTAGCAGATAAGCTTGGGGATATATTTTGCTGGTTCAGTCTTCTCTGCTCTTCAAATCTAGAGTTTCTGGATGAAACCTCCCGATGGCTTCCAGAATGTACCTTTGTGAAATTGCTCCATACTAAAGAGTCTTGTTTGTCCATGTTTCCTATGTTCACTGCTCACTGCTCACATTTCTTGGGTTAGCTGAAAAAATCACTGGTGGAGGACACTGTTGTTTACAGTGTCATAAATTCTAGCGAGCCTGCAGTCTACCCTTGGGCCCATGATGTCCACAAATATGTGGCTCTGACTGCTGTCTTCTCTTAACATGTCCTGGGCTGATTTTTTGGCTCGGGGGTTTTGGCATTCTTTCAGGGTTCTTCGCTGCTTGTTATTTGTTCAGTATTCCTGATCCCTATCAGTTATATGTGGCTCTGTGCCATATCTCCTGACCCCCATCAGTCATGTGTGGCTCTGTGCCATATCTCCTGACCTGGGTTCTCTTCCCTGTCTTAGTGCTTGCTACCTCATCTCGTAAGAGCTGTTTTTATTCTGTGGTTAGTTTTCAGGGAACCATTAGCGTGAGTCATCCAGCAACCCAGTGTTGAATGTAATGAAATGCCTTTTTCTGGAGGAGCCCCGGTGGCTCCCTGACACCCTCCTTCCTCCTAGATTTGTTGGTTCATTGTGGAGTTGGTCATCAGCTCCAGAACTGACCCGGAGAGCCAACGAAGAGATGGACCTGGGCCACTGTGGTGGTCTTTGGTACTAATGAGTTTTCAGCTTGTTTGAGTGAATCTCTAGTTCTGTGTGACTCATTTACCAAGTTGTTTGGTAGGTTTGAGGCTTTGTTTTTTGTGACCCATCTGTATGTCTGTAAAGCTTCACTGAATTTCTGGAAGTTTTTTCCAGTAGAGTGGAGGATTGTCACCCATTCCCTGTGCCTCTGTGAGGGGTCCACATCCTGGCTCTGGTCCCCAGTAGGTCAACCAGAATTACTGTGACTGATGGGACCCTTTAGTATGGAACAGTCTCAGCAATATAGCTTTGGAGAACCACCATGACTCCTCCAGAAAGAGGCGTTTCATTACATTCACCACTGGATTTTTGACGCTGGTCTCTTGGCATTTATATGGTGAGAAGGTGGCTGGATTGATGGTATCCCACCTGTGTGTTTCTTTGTGGCAGCAGTATAAAGTGCTCATTTTGCCACTTTTTTTTTTCTTTCTTTTTTTTTCTTCTTCTCTTTCTTGAGTTTCGGTCAAGGTTGTCCTGTCCTTTGTATAGATTATTTCTTGATCTGCATCTCATGGCTAATACTGTTGCCTAGAGGTGAAGGAGAGACCCAATTTAAGTTTGTGTATTTAAAACTAAATTTTTGGATGTAACCTACATCCTTTCTCAAGGTACTGTATGCAATGTTCTGAAAAAGATTTTAGGAGCTTGCATTTATATGAATGTTGCCTTGTATCATTCAGTGTTGGTAGAGCTGTAGTTGCTTGTGTTTCACGTTGACACCTCCATGGCACCGTTCCACAACTTGTCTCGTACATTTTTTCACTTCCTGCCAGCTCATATACCTCCTGAGCTGTTCTGGCCTCTTGACTGGATTTTGTTCTCTCTCTCCTTGCATCGGTTTCCCCTTCGGCTCGTGATGTCTTTCTCAAGGCCCTGTTGTTGTTGGCTCTCATCTCTGGGTGTAGGGTTGGGAAGCTTCAGGCACTTCTCTGGAGGTGTGTGTGTGGGGGGGGGGGTACTGTTCTTTTGGCCCTGGTGAGCAGTTTGTTAGCAGCCTTATCATTTTTTCCTGGTGAAGAATGAATTAGCTGCCTTCCGGAAGGGGTATTTTGATGGTTGATGCTTGGTTGGCTAGGTCAGGGGTTCATCATTTGTTGTCAGGATGCAACTCTTCATCACTTCCTGCAGGTCACCGGTTCTGCCTTGGTGGACACCTTATTGGTTGTCCCTGCATCCTTTGTCCTCTGGTCCAAGGCCTGCATTTCTCAGGTCGTCCACAAATTCATTCAGCCTAGTCAGCCTGTGATCTACCCTCTGACCCATTATGTTCACAAATATGTGGCTTTGGCTGTGGTCTTCTATAAAATGCCCTGGCCTGATATTCAGGTTCAGGAAGGGGGGGGGGGGGTTGGCATTCTAACAGGGGTTCTTGCAGACCAGTATTTATTGTTCCTGTCCCCAGTAGGTCTTGTGCAGCTTTAGGCCATAGCTCTGGCCTGGGTTTTCTTTGTCCTTGTGCCTGTTGCCTCTTCCACTTTCCAGCAAGTTCTGTTTTTGTTCTCTGTGGTTAATTAGCCTCAGGAAGCTACTGTTGGGGGTCTCCTAAAAAAAAACAGCATTGAATGTAATGAAACACCTCCCAGATTTCCTCCCTTCCCTCAAGGTTTGGTGGCGAGTTGCTCATCAACTCTAGAACTAGCTTAGGGAGTTGGGTGCAGGCAGGAGGATGCTTAGTGATGGTAGTAAGCAGTATTAACGTGTTTCAAGGTAGTTTGAGTGAATTTCTTGTTACACGTGACTCATTTGCATCAGTTTGGCAGTTTCAAGGCTTCATTTTCTGTGAACCCTGCAGCTGTGGACAAAATTTCACTGAATTTCTGGATGCTTTACAAGTGGGGTGGCGAATTGCCACTCACGCCCTACACCTTGGAGGGGACCAAGTTCTGGCTCTGGTCCCTGGTAGGTAAAACAGAACATGCGTAAAGTTTTAGCACAGAGCAATCTTGGCAAGATAGCTTCACCAGGGCTCTACCAGAAAGACATTTCCAAACATTTAATGATAAGTCTATCTAGTTTTGCCATTTTTAATAAATTTTTAGCTTTTTAGTGCTTATAAATTTACCTGCTTGATGGGGTTCTGAGAGTTCTTCTACTCCCCAAGCCTGGCCCCAAGGCCAGGCTTGACTTGTGAGAGCTTGGTTCATCAGGCTGTTTCTTGGAGCGGCCCTCAGGCCCACATACCCACCAAAGCCTGGTTGGTCCGGCACTTGTTTTTAGAAAACAATCTAATTTTCTCTTGAAGATGTCCACGGTTGTTCCGGCATTATTTCTTATAATCGCTGGGAGGACGTTGAACAACCGCGGACCTCTGATGTTTATACCTGTACAGTGTTCTCTGTGCCTATGGCACCTCTGCTCTTCACTGGTTCTATTCTACATTAGAACTAGTAAAGGTTCTAATGTTTTAGAACCATATCGTTCACTCTAGCTTTAGTGAAGTGAACCATTCTGCTTAAAGTTCTATTATGCAGCTCTTCTCCACTGTCAGTTGCTGAGCAATGATTGGTACTGGAATAATTAACCTACCAATACTGTATGGAACAAAAGTTTTCATAAAATAGTTGACTCTCTTATAAATGTTAATCAGAGGATGAATTTGCAGTACAGTATGTACATTATAACATTATGTAAGTACTTATAAGTACTCATAGTCCAATCATACAGATATCTGACAGCTTGCTTTAGTTTAGTATGCTTTTATCACTTAAAACTGTGCATGAAGAGGTGACCAGACCATAAAATTACAGTAAATAATTGTTGCTTACATGAATTTTTGGTTACTAAAATGCATGTCTTGCTTGCTTTTATATGGCATTTTATTTACATGTACTGCTGGCTTGTTTTGATTATTGTAATTTAGTCATGGTAATATTTGTTAGTTTTATACAGAGTATCATAGAGCACATCTGTACTTCATATTGTTTAGTACAGTGCCTGTAAACAAAATGCTTTATATGATAGGACTTTTAAGTTCTTTTGAGGTCTTACCTCTGTTCATTATTCTGTATTTACTTACATTATCTGTTTTATGACTTGGTGTTTTGCATGATTGCTCTGCAGGTGGTGATTGGTGGAAGTATTGTTGATTTTGTTGCAACAGTGAAGGAACCAGAAATTAAGGTATGCTTATGATGCTTCTTGTATCTTTTAATTGCAGGATGTATAACAGTGGTAAGAAGAAACACAAGATTTTAAAACTAAGTGTTAACTGACATTATTATAATAATGTCAGTTATTTTAGAAGAGACAAATGATGCAATTTGTGCTGGAGATGACATTACAGTAATTCATATTGTAAGCTTTGTAAAGTGTCTAAACAGAAATTGACACTTAACACTTTCGCTGCCCGATGCTGAATATTCCATCATGGAACCAAAATGCAGTACGGAAAACTGATGATGATGCAAACGTCATCATTAATTAAAAAAATTTGTAAGAAATTCCATTTATTGTCCAAATTCTATGGGACTTTTTAAAAATGAGCTCCAACTTCTGCCCATTCTCTGTATACCCCACGTGGCATCCTGACCCCACTGTGTAGGCACCTACCCATGCAGGAGGCTCACTTGTGACCTCGCTCATGACCTTGCTCATGAGAGGCGCGAACTTCCCTTGAATCGAAAAGTTCCCCCATTCCATCCGACCGCCCCTCGCGGTCACCTGTCCCTCGATAGAATTCTTGGTGACTCGGATACTTTTGATATCGTTCGCCTTATGCGTTTTTGTTCTCGTATTGGCATCCTTGGTGATATTTAGCGCCCTCTGATTATTTTGCGTATTTGATGGTGCTACATAGCCTTCCCGGTTTGGTGCCTTCTTTTGATAATTACTTACTTACTTACTTCCCCCATTCCAGTTATTTTATCTCGGTATTTGTTGTTACCGGCTTTATAAACACTACAGATTGACTTTCAAATGAATGCTGATCGAGAACAGAGGCAATCCATGACGAAAGCATTGAAAGAAACACATATGAGGGGAAAAGATATTGAGTTTTCATCGAAAGTTTAGAAAACTGAGACTTGTATGTTTTTTATATGCAAATATTCCTTTACATCATTCAATTGCAAATAGTTTGATAGCAATTTAAACGCTGTAGCACGGAAATTAAGGTTAGAAAGCTGAAAGCGATTAAACACTGGAGTGGTGAACTCTTGGGCAACGCTCGGGCTACCTTGTAGTGACTGGCAGGTCTAAAGTACAGGAAAGGGAGACTTGTATGTTCTTATATGCAGATACCTCTTTACAACATTCTGTTGCGAACAATTTGATACCAAATTGAACTACATAGCACAAAAATTAAGGTCACAAAGCTGAAAAAGTATAAACATTTGTGGGCAGTGGTAAGTTCACGCGTACCACTCGGCCGACCTTGAGGTGCACGGCGAGTCACCCGCCAGGGCAGCGAAAGTGTTAAACTAAAAGTTCAGTACAGTACATGTTTTCTGTTACAGTATATCTATATGTAACATATAATATTGGCAAGACGTAGATACTGTATAGTGTATGAACATCAGATTATAAAAAACTAATGTTGGTAAATATATTTTGGAATTTAAATGCCTTTGAATATTAGTGGTATCTGCAAGTTAAGGTAGGTAAATTTGTATTTGTATTAAATTTATAATGGTATACAGTAATTCACATAGTCTTGCCACAATCCTGTGATCACTTAGTTTTTTGTATCCGAGCCATAGGATGGGAAGGTTCGTGATAACACTCATTTCCATGCACATTAACACTTTGGCATGCCCAACAGGCATGTCAAATTGCACCGGAAGGTATGCCGAGCATTCTGGTGAGCATACAACCCAATGTTAAACTCTTTCAATCTCAATGTTTATACCTAATAATAAGACTTAAGTAAAAATTATTGCATGCTGACGTTTGCGTCATCACCCACTCTGAATGTTTTGGTTTTATGCCGCATAATGCGTCATCAGGATGGCAAAGTGTTAAGTCATGTTCAATTACAAATTAAACCCAGACATTTATCCCTCTTCCTTCACTGCACGCTGGAGAACCACTTGGGTTACCAAGATTGCTCTATACAGGAGCAAATTTTGTACTGTGCTCCAAAAAATGGTTTCTCTTTAATCATTTAAAACACTTAAGGCATATCTGATCATGGGATGTGAGTGATACTCGTGTTTAAGGGACATTGCCAGAGACTGTCCTGATAATATCAAGTTAGTTAAAAAATTGTATGTTCCAGTCTAAAAATAAATAAGCTGAAATCAGATTTACATATTTTTAAAGATACAGTGGGGCCTCGATTTACGATGGTAATCCGTTCCCAGAGACGTATCGTAAGTCGAAATACCTGTACCGTACGTTGAAGTGATTTTTCCCATAAGATATAAAGGGAATTGAATTAATTCATTCCACACTCTCAAAAATGAAAATACATTTTATACTGAATACAATTGTTTTCTTTAACTGCAATACAGTACATATGTTTATCACGGGAGCCAGTCGGCCGAGCGGACAGCATGCTGGACTTGTGATCCTGTGGTCCTGGGTTCGATCCCGGGTGCCGGTGAGAAACAATGGGCAGAGTTTCTTTCACCCTATGCCCCTGTTACCTAGCAGTAAAATAGATACCTGGGTGTTAGTCAGCTGTCATGGGCTGCTTTCTGGGGGTGGAGGCCTGGTTGAGGACCGGGCCGGGGAGACACTAAAGCCCCGAAATCATCTCAAGATATCTTACCTTTATGGAGGACTCTTGATGGCGTATGGAAGATGGTTATGAGGGGGGAGGAGAGGTGGTGTTACTGTTTGGAAGGGGAGTTCCCTTCCATTATAACATCAGGCAGTGAGGACTTCTCTGGGGTATCACACTGGCACGTTTTGCTTGCATACCACTAGGACCTGCTCCTGGCTCACTGCTAGATTTTCTCACTAGAAATCGTTCCATTGAAGATTGTTTTTCCCTTCTTTCCAACACTTGTCTGTAGTGAGGCATCACATTGTCATTAAAAAGATAGATGCAACAGGCTGTTATAGCTTTATCTGGGTGATTCTTTTCAGCAAAACTTTGCAGTCCTTTCCATACTGCACACATTTTCTTAATTAATGAGGAAGGGACATCCTCTAATGCTTATGTGGCTCTTTAGTAAAACCTGCTTTATCCTACAATTCTTATCATTTTGTATTAAATTTTTTATTGGCGTGCGTGCGTGTGTGTGTGTATTCACCTAGTTGTTATTGCGGGGATTGAGCTCTGCTCTTTCGGCCCGCCTCTCAACTGTCAATCAATCCACTGTAACTATCTACTCTATCTTTTGTATCTTTTCTAGTTTAATGATGTACGTTTTGAGATATGGGCACCATCGCCATCCATGTATTTAAGTGATTCTAAAGTTGTAAAGTGTAGCATACACTCCTTGCACAATGTTCTTTGTGATCCTCAGGTGACAGCTTTTTATCCATACCACCCCTAGATCTTTCTTTATCAGAATTCATTAACCCCTGCACTGTGCACCTGTTTCATGTGACAACTTCAAAGTGCAGGGAATAATGAATTATTAATATCAAATGAAATTAAAAAGATATATGAAAATTTTCAAAATAAATACGGCGGAACCTCGGTTTTTGAATGCCTCTCTACAAATTTTTAGTTTTTCGAGCTCAATTTCTACGTAAAATTTGACTCGGTATTCGAGATTTGCCTCACTTCTCGAGTTTGTTGAGTCACGTATGGGTCGACCGAGTGCATGGGGCTCCAGTGTGTCCTGCCTAGTGATGACCGCACTTGAATTCTTTGTAAAGAATTTCATTGTTTTTGTGGTTGGTTTCTGAACATAAAATTAATTATTATATATAACACGATGGGTCCCAAGAAAATCAGTGGTAAAGTTCAACCCAAGAAATAGTTGTGAGGATGATGATAGAGGAAAAACAAGAGATCATTCAGAGTGGATGAATGTAATGTCTCACTACAGACAAGTGTTAAAACGTAGGGAAAAACAAGTGCTTAGACAGAATCTAAACAAGACAAGCAAGTAGTGAGCTACAATCAGGTCCAAGTGGTATGCCTGCAAAATGTAGGAGAGAGAGTACCCTATAAATTTCATCACTGCATGATGTTATAATGGAAGGTTACTCCCCTTCCAAACACTAACACCTCTCCTCCTTCCCCCGTCCTCACCATCTTCCATGTGCAAACAAGAGTCCTCAATACAGGTAAGATACACTTGTACATATTGTAGTACAAAATATTAGTAGTATTATGTATAAAAGGTATTTTTAAGTTGATATTTTTATGGTGTGTGGAACGGATTAATTAAATTTACAATATTTCTTATGGAAAAATTTGTTTCGGTTTTCGAATTTTCGATTGTCAAACTATCTCTGGGAACAAATTAAATTAAAAAACAGAGGTACCACTGTATTGCCAAATGCAACAATTTTAATTTCAAATCACAGAGTGAAAAAATATTAAAGAACACTAAAATATTGCTAAAGTCAATAATTTTTTGCACAACCCGTTGAGCACCTTAAAATGCTATGCACACTGCAGGGGTTATAACATTTTCACATAATTTGTGTTGCCAGGTTTCTCCTATTCCATATTCCATAATGTGGCATTTATTCACATTATATTCCATTTACCAATGTTGCTCCATATGCATATTTTGTCCGGGTCTTCTTGAAGGGCATGACAATTGTTGTTTTCTTTCTTATCTTCCCAAGTAGCTTGGCATCATCAGCAAACATGCTCATATAATTCTGTATTTCTTCTGGTAAATTGTTTATATAGACAATGAACAATGATGAAAAGATCATAAAGACAAATGGGGGGACCTTTGACAAGCTGACTGCTTCCTGTCCTCGTCGAAGCCACTAGTGTAAGTGACCCTCGAGTAAATTTATTTTTTGATTTATTTATACAAGAGTTCTTATATTCTTATACAGCCACTAGCACTCATAGCATTTCGGGCAGGTCCTTAATCATAATTAAGGATTGTTTAACAACCAGGTACCCATTTTTCTGTTGGGTAAACAGAGGCTACAGTTAAGGATTAGCGCCCAGTAAAGCCTCCCCGACCAGGATATGAACCCAGGCCAAAGCGCTTGCAAAACACCAGGTGAATGTGGTACCATTTCACCATGAGGACTGACCAAATTCTCCAGTCTGATGCATTGTCTTTGATTACTACCCTCATTTTACTGTTAAAAAATTGTTCATTCATGTCACTCCTCCAGCAACTCAGTTTCCAGAACAACCTGTTATTGGGACTCTGTTGAAAGCCTTTTCTAGGTCCAGATAAATTCAGCCAATCCAACTACAGGTATCTCTTTCCTGTAAAATCTCTGTGGCTCTATCATAGAAACTAAGTGGATTTGATACACAGGCTCTTTCAGATCGAAAACCATACAGTCTGACTCTTATTATATAATGTCTCTCCAGGTCTTCTACCCATTTGGTTATAATTATTTTTTAGGTTTGATTACCATGCTTGTCAACTACAGTATACAAGTCTATAATTAAGAGGGGGTCTTCCCTGCTACCATTTGTATAGATTGGAATTATGTTGGTCTTTTTCCATATATCTGCCAAGACTCTTGTACACAAAGGTAAGGGAATTATCAGAGGAAAGCACCAAGCCATTATGGCTATATAGCTTAGAAGATGACTCAAAACTCCATTGAAGTGGAATGCTGAGTTCAGATGTGCAATCTTTCAAAACCCAGGATGAAACTATCTGAGCCAACTGCTTAGCTTCTCGAGTATTTTTCCATTACGTCTTACTATGTACCCTATGGTGTTCTCTGAAATTCGTATTGTGTCTGGTTCTCTGAAAACTTCATGTTATGCAAATACACTTTGAACTGTTCATATAGACTTAGACACACGCATTACTAACTAGACCAGTAATGTGTGTGTGTGTGTAATTACCTGTGTAGCTACTGGGTGATAATGGCCTCCTTGCCCTAGCAGGAGCCCCCACACACACACCCCACACACACATTGTGTGTGTGTGTGTGGGGGGGGGGGCTCTTGAATCCCACACAATAGACAGTTTGAACCACTTTCTAAATGACCGATAAGGGCAGTAATCAGAGACAATATATCTGGAGAAGTGTTCTTTTCAACAACAAACAATTCCACAGGGTTAATTCCACGTTGTGGCATGGGGTACCACAGGGTTTAGTTCTTGCACCAGTAATGTTCGTTGTCTTCATTAACGATCTACCAGAAGAAATACAGATTATATGAACATGTTTCTGGAAGGTGCCAAGATACTGGGGAAGATAGGAGACACAGGCGATTGTAATGCCCTTCAAATTGGTCTAAATAAAATAGGTGCTTGAGTGGCAAATGGAATTGAATGTGAATAAATGCCATGTTATATAATGAAGAATTTGAGAAAATAGACCACACACAACTTACAAATTAAGTGGAAAGGAATTACAGAACTCTAATAAAGAATGAGACCTAAGGGTGGTTTTGATAGTAAGCTGTCGTCAGAGCAATACACACAGAACATTGTGAGAGGAGAGTATGCATCACTTTCCAACTTCAGACTTACTTTTAATTATATGGATGGTGAAATACTGAAGAAACTGTTAATGACTTGTGAGACCAAAATTGGAATATGCAGCAGTTGTATGGTGTCCAAATTTAAAGAACCACATGAATAAACTGGAAAAGGTACAACGACATGCATTGAAATGGCTTCCGGAACTGAAAAACAAGAGTTACAAGAAGAGATTAGAGGCATTAAACATAGCAAAACTAGAAGATTGAAGAAAAAGTGGTGATATGATCACCACTTACAGGATACTAAGAGGGTTCGACCAAATTGACAAATGGGAATTCCTGAAGCCAGCAACTTCACGAAAAAGAGGACACAGATTCAAGCTAAGGAAACACAGGTGACGAAAAAATATTAGAAAGTTTTCTTTTGCAAACAGAGTGGTAGATGGTTGGAACAAAATAAATGAGGTGGTGGCGGAAGCCAAGACCATCAGTAGTTTCAAAGCGTTTTACGACAAAGAGTACTGGGAAGACGGGACACCACAAGCATAGCTCTCATCCTGTAACTACACTTAGGTAATTACAGAGGTCTCCGATTGTTAATTCGTGCCATTGAGGCATTGACAGTTAACCTCTGTGTTAGTGTTTGTTCATCATCACTTGAACATGGCACCTCCATGACTTTTAAAGTAAAATCCTGGCTCCTACAAGGAAACTGATAAGGAAATCACAGCAGTCCTGAACAGAGTAATGAAGGTTGTTCTGGTCGACCTCTAAAATCTAGAGAGAGATGGTGCTGCTATGACGCTAGCCAATGATGAAGACCTCCAGAAAGTACTCGACCCAGCACATCTGGCAGCACTCAAAGATGCAACAAATTTTGTCAATTTGACAAACGATTCTTTGCGGCAGGGAATCGTATTCCAGGGATCTGCCC